GAGTGGGCTGTCTTTGCAGATATGAATGTTCTCAATTTAGGAGTGTAACATTGGTCATGCCCACAAACCTATGAAAAATATTCAGAAAGTGGACACAAGAAAGCTATGTGCTGTAATATCCCGAGTCATTGCCCACCCAACTTTTTGGGCAAATATTAATTTCCAAAAAGCACGGACCGGTCGCCCATCTTTATAAATATGGCAATGCGGGCTCTGCGATCGCAAACAATCATTCTACCCGAATGACGCAGCCGTGGACCCTAGTTGGAGGACATCAGTAACAAAGTAAAATGAAGGGAAAGGCACTTCTCTTTATTTACGCATTTCCTCCCCGACTTCCGCGACCCCAAAGTCGGGGTACATTCGCGCAAAAGGAAAACGATGGAGATAACAAAATGAAACTTTGTTTTGTTACAAAAAAATTTGTTGAGACGAGAAAAAAAAAAAAAAATCGGCAAGATAGCACAAGCAGTAACCCATTCATAGATCGCAAGGTCAGCGAACGCCCCATATCCTGGAGTGTAACCGTGGATAGTAAGGTCAACGTTTGTCTCCACCGAACTTAGGTCCCACTGCGAACCCGCTCCTTCTCCCGGAATGTCACGACCACAATTAGTAAGCTTGTGCGATGTTTTAGACAAACACAGCGAGCAAATAAAGCTTTGATGGAATGCCACGCACAGACGCGTCCCATTCCGAGCTCCACGTTCGTGGTGCCGTCCACGCCACACAGCAACACCGTCTCGACACGCGTTGATAGCACGCCGCGCACGGACGCATGCATGCGTGCACCAGACAAGGAAGTTGCATAAGAGCCTGCTCCCTGCGATTGACAAGGTGCCTGACTTGGATTTCGGGCGGCAGGGGATTGGGCGATGACTCCGGATATTATGGTATTTGATTGACGTACGGAGAGATGTAGAGATTACAACGAACAGCGAAGTTAAAAAGTCACACACTGTTACCTTTAGCCAAAGTATACAACATTTATTAAAATAATAAGGAGAAAGGGTGTGTGCACCCTCAGACTACAAATTAGAATGTGAAGGTAATTTTTGTAGTTCACGGCTAGTATGCACACTTTGGTAGAAGGCACGCACCGTGGCTTAGTCTCTTTACAAGGCCTTCGAGAAGGGGGCCAATGGATCGCAAGGAAGAATTGTCACAGATACGGTGCCACGCTAAGGCAGATCGAGAGCGCAATGCTCAACGGACGTCCAAAGAGTGCGCTAGAATTGCCGAAGCAACAGGCCAATGAAGAGATCATCGATGCAGTGGATAATGTGCAACAGCTGCCACAGCCAAGTTACAATAAGCCTGTCAGACCAATGGACAGCATACCACAGCAGCAGCCACCAAACGAGAGCGAAGAGCAACGCACACTAGCGAAGACTGTGTCGCATGGGTAACTACAGTGTGCTAATACCACTGCAAGCTCTTTGTTCCAGCATTGCTTCGGAAATTTTAGGAAAAATGCTATCGCGTTACATTTCGTTTGGCAGCAGCCAGAGAAAGCGTAGCCTTTAGCACAGGTGTCACACGAAAGCACGACATCTGGAAAAAAAATCCGGAAAAACCAATACCTTCATGACACAAGCTTACAAATCACATTTTTTATCCAAGATCAAAGGACCGGCGCACTCAAACTGTCTTGAAAGGTGCATCTCTGGTGTAAACACTTGCAGGGCATAACCCCCTCTCAATGCTTTGACAAAGCAGGAAGGTAATCGGCCCCAATGAGCACTTGGTGTTTCTGCTGTAAATGAGAAATTTAGCCCTTGCCGCACCCAGCCTGGGGTCTTTAACGTGCACTGCGCAGTGGAGGTACGTGGCCGCACGCTGGTACGGCATTTGCCCAGATCGAAATGGGCAGGGGCAGGGATTGAACCCAGGATCACCGGGTCCTGCAGCACGAGCTTTAGCTCAACGTGCTCCGGGTTGTGGGGCGCTCGGTCGCCGATCTCCTCGACTAAAGTGCAATGTCTCGGGGAATAGCAACAAGGTAAAAAATCAGACGTTTACAATTCTCTGCAATGCCGAATTAGAGCACAGCTCTTGAGGAGGAGGAGGGGAGAATATGCCTCTCTTCCCCTCCCCTCCTCCTCACCTGCTGTCCTCCTATTAGCAGAAAATTTTCACTAAATTTCCCGCTAAATTTAGTGGGGAGACTGAATCGGTGTTGAGACCCATGTGACGTCGATTTCCCCGCTAAATTTAGCGGGTAAAAATAACCCGCAAAAATTAGCGGGGAAATTTTCCGCTAAATTCAGCAGGAAAAGTTAGCAAAAATTTTCCCGCTAAATTTAGCGGGGAAACTGAAGTGGTGTTCAGGTAACGAGACGTCAATTTCCCCCTAAATTTAGCAGGGAAATTTTTCTAGAAAATTTAGCAGGGAACTTTTTCAGCTAAATTTAGGGGGGAAATTTTTCCGTTAAATTTAGCGGGAAATTTTCCCATAATGCAACGCGCGGTTATGCTGACGGCGATGCCGATGTTGCTCAACCCGGAAACGGGCACCTAAGAGCTGCGCTCTAAAAGAGGATGAATGTAAGCTCAAAACAGTAAAAAATAGGAGTGGAATCTTGTCCAATCCGATAGATTTAATTTGGTTGAGGCAAACATTCTGCATTCCCACACAAGGCAGACGAAAACCAAGCCTCACTAACACTTGCTTTCTGAGCAGCAGCATCACTACCTACTGCGAGCTTGTCCGAGAATTCCCAATGCTGGCTTCGGACAAAAGTATATACTTTCTAATATTGGCATACTGCAACTAAGCACACTTTTGTTTTTGTTGTGCAACGCTACAACACGATCTTCGTAACCTGAAACAGGTTCATATTATTACCAGTATCACCCCGGAAAAAATTTCTCCGTTAGGCCACGCACTGGTCATAAAAGACTTGTAAGCGGGCTTTTGAAAGGGAATCGAAAAGACTTGAAAAATCTAAGCACACACGAGCCTTTTGCAGGTTGGTATGACGTCGTGACAACCTTCCTTGTGAAAGCTGTCCTCAGTCTTCAACCCAAACAAAGAAAACCGAACATTTGCAAAAAAAAAAATCATCAAAACAAGCAAGGAAAGAAATTTCAGACTGCACTGACAGTCATGGGGCCAATCAAGCACAGCAGGAACTGAGAAACTGCACAAATATTTGACTTTTTGTAGGTTACCTATTAAGCAACAAAAACATGCATGCAATTCTTTAGAAAGCCCACAACAGGGCCTACTTCACTCAAAAGAGATACTGCTTATCAAGCTGGCATTGTTTCAATTCTGCGTCACTGCGGTGCAACGATTTTATGATTAAAAGAGTTTGCATCTCGTCATTTTTACGTTGTTTATCGTGTCCCGGAGGATAGAGAAAACACCTCCTTCATTTAAAATGTTGCGATTCCGCTCCATAGTCGCAAAGCAAAAGTCAAGCTTTTTCCCCCACCTGCAGCCCCAAGTGGCAGCCGAAGGAACTACGGCAAAAAGATTACGTGACCTCGCTCGGCTCTAAGCTGCAGCATAGCGCCCGCTTATGTCAGTAGAGAGAGGGAGAGGAAGCGTCCTCCGAGATAGCACACGGGAACCTACACGGCACTCCGAATGACATCACTAGGAGGAGGACCAGGTGTGACCCTGAAGGCTGGGAGTGAGTTGAGGGGTGCCCGAAAGGCCAATATTTATCTTTTTTTTATGCAACAACTAGGACACAGGCGAAATCGGTTTTCAGTTCTTTAGAAGTGTCAGAGGGTAACTTCCAGAAATGTTTGACCGAAGTGCGGAAATCGCTGCACCCCCCCTTTAAGGTTGAAGTGTTCCTGAAGGTTTGAGCTTACTAATCTGTACAATAAGTGTACAGTGCCCACTCACAAAGAAAGGAAGCAAATGGTGCAATGCCACATTCTGCAATTGTGGATAGATCCCGAAAGGAGGCGAAAAAGTGTTCAATTTCAGACGCAACTTCACTGCTTTGTTGTTGAAAGATATTATGGACGCTTTATCAAGTTGCCGAGAAACGAAATTGCGGTGTGTCAAGCGCCAGTCATGAAACTTAGAGTCAATCAATCCCCAACACATCCTTTCAGGTACACATCCGACACATCTAGTAACTGCGGCGTCAATTATTCGAGTCCGCCACTGTTTTGTCATACACGGAGCGCAAGTTTGTCTGCTCCTTGCGCAGGCAGCTCAAGGCAGCTAGCATTGAGGTCTACCCACTATCCTTCCAATCTGAGCCAATCAGAACTCTGCGTTTTTACGTCATCACAACCCTGTGCAAGAAGCAGACAAACTTGCACTCCGCATAGTAATCTGAGCATATATTGGACATGAGTGCTGTGTCTTTGGCAAGGACTCGGATCCAATCACACGCTTCGTGCCTAAGGAATGGTGACTGTCATTGTTGCTCGATGGGCTTTCGAAATTGGTCTATTACACAGGCGTAGCTAGAAAACTTTTTTCGGCGGGGGTTGGGGGCTAAAGCAGCTGGGATGCCCATGACCTAGGGTGCGGAAAGGGAGAAAGGGGCTCAAAATACATGTGCATATTATAGGGTCGGCTGAATTTCAAGGGGGCTGAAGCCCCATAAGCCTCCCCATTGGCTATGCCATTGGTCTACTATGAAACAAAATAAAGGGTGCTCGTTATCAGCAAAAGAAGACGTAGGGCAGATCAATGTTGGCAATGCTGAGGCACTCCAGTCAAACCCAAGTGGCTTCCATTACAGATCACAGAAAAACTGGTTGCGATAGGAAAAAAAGATGCAGCGTAGAAACTGCTCACGACAAGGAAAAAAGATGCGGCTCTTGCTTATAAATATAAGAATTAAAACGAAAGACATACTCCTACTTTCACTCCCTTCCTCCAATGCCATATCCTGACGTAGAGCCGCCCAATAATTTAAGCAGCGAGGCGATGCAGTCAATTCCCCTTTTTTCCACGGACTTTTTAAACTAACTGGCATTGCAACGGCTCTTCAGGCCGGGAATCCAATGTATCGCTAGCCATGCCAAATATGCACGCTTTTATGCCAGCACACAATACATCCTCCCTCGGTGCTGTCGCACACTGTCGCACGCCATCGGTACGGCTTTTCTGTTCCGGCTTTCACCAGCTACGGTTCACTTGGCCGACCCATGCCATGTTTCTTTCTACTGTGGTTCTCCCAAGCACTTAGAGGCTCAGTGTCAGCCGAGCCTCCTTTCTCCCAAGCACGTGCAATGTCCTCCTCCCACCTAAACCCGGTTCTTCGGGCAGTTTACACCTTGAATATCGTGCACTGTCATCACGGGTTGGGGTCCTCCTCCACGCCTCCGTCCGGCTCTCCCCTCTCCTGCGGAAGCGGTGGCACCTTCTTGAAGCCGGACGACTCCAGCTCGATGGTGACCGGTCCATCGTTGCGAATGTCCACCTGCATGAGCGTTCCGAACTCGCCGTCCTTGACCAGCTGCTCGCCGTGCTCCGCCCTCATCCTGCGGAGGAACTCGGCGTAGAAGTCCCTCGACCGGTCGCCGTCCATCGCTAGGTGGAAGTCCGGCTTGTTGCCCTTGAGGGTACACTGGAGCGTGAACTGGCTCACACAAAGCACCTCGAGGCCGAGCTCGCGTGCTGAGCGCCGCCAGCGCTTGCCGTCGTCACCGTTGAAGAGCTTCAGGTTGAGTACCTTGCGGACAATGTAGTCGACGTCGCCATCGGTGTCGTTGCGGTGGATGCCAACGAGCACACACAGGCCACGGCCAATAGAGCTCACCAGGCGGCCGTCCACGTGCACAGCGGCAGAGCTGACCCGTTGGACGACTGCGCGCATTGTGGCTCCGGTCTGGGCGGAGGAAGCGGCAACTGCGAACCTTGATCCGTTTCGAAGCTGCAGAAAGAAAGGTGTCGCATGAAAAGAGTCGTACCATGGTCATCCTTTAAAAGGGTCCGACGTGCCATCTCCCCATAGTCATTTTAGAGCGCAGCTCTTAGGCGCCCGTTTCCGGCTTGAGCGGCGTCACCGTCGCCGTCGGCGTAACCGTGCGTAACCCTCGTGAGGGTTACGAGGGTAACCCTTGTGATCCTCGTGAGGGTAACAACCCTCGTAACCGTCACGAGGGTTAGGAGGGTTACTTCGTGAGGGTTACTCTCACGAGGGTTATGAGAGTTACCTTCACGAGGGTCACGAGGGTTACCCTCACAAGGGTTACCCCCTGAGGTCATGTGACCCCCTCAGGTCACATGACCCCCCTGATGTCACGTGCCCCCTCCCCCAAGGTGACGTGACCACGGGTAGTCACCTATCTCTCAGTACCCTACCATCCTATCCCTCAGTACCCTTCCATCCTCCTCAAGAACTGCGCTCTAATCTGGCGTTAGTTGTAAACGGCTTTCATTTTTTTGTCTCATTTTCACATCGTAAGCGGAGAAAATACAGAAAATATAGTTTGGTTTCAATAGCAAGTATAGTCTATGAGGATTAGCTCCACAAGCTTCCTCCTCTGTTCTCTTTGTGATCACTGTCGTGACACAACAAAGAAGCAAGAATTTTTATTATAGTTCAGAACAAGAGCTAGAAAACCACGACTGTATTCGGCTTGTGAGGTTGCAGCTTTGGGCTCAGAAGAGACTTGCACAGAAGACAAATAAATACTTGAGCCTGTTGTACAGTTACCCCAACTCAAACCTTACCTGACTGAAGAAAGTATCAAACTGATGGCTTTACCCACGGTCCATGAAGCTGTCAGAAGGTTAGGTATTTTTCAGATGTGGTGCATCCTAAATTTTATGTTCACTCACTCAAAAATTTGGACTCAAAAAATCTGGACACCGTTAATGAACAAGGTCTGCAAATCCGCTTTTCTGCACACCCTGGCAAAAAAAGATGCATTGAAGCCATCTGTTTCCTCTTCCCTCAATTTGACATGTTTGATGAAGCCCAGTGGAGAAGAACAAAGCAACCTTGTTGAAGCTAAGTCTAACATCAGCCTTCCTTTGACATGAAGTTTGTTATGCAGTGGCTACGATATTCACAATGAAGTTAATTCTTATTTAGATGTGACATGCTCTTTTTGTTGCCAGTTTGTCGTTACTTCATGCATTTGAGTCAAACAGATCTAATGAAAAGGAACCTAGCGACCAAGTTAGCACTAATAATGATAATAATATTTACTTGCATACAAAAGTGTGATCCTGGGTGGCGTGCAAGGCCGGACAGAAAGGTTAAGACCCATATGCGAGTGCGCTTATGCGACAGGGGCGGTTTTATGGGTCAGGCTTGCGGGGGGCAGTAGTCATTCGGCTGGCCGGGGGGGGGGAGAGTCTGTTGAGATTCAACGATACGGCCGAAACGTTGCCCGGATCTATCTTGTTGACCCAATATTTGCTATGTCGCCAAAACTGAACTTTTCGCTGATGTATATCAATTTTTTAATTAAAAAAAAAAAAAAGCTGACCTCAGGGAGGGGGGGGGGGGGGGGGGGGGGGATCGCTTCCTCCCCTCCCACCCCTCTCTTAAATCCAGCCCTGCTCAGCGGTTCCCTGCATTCAGGCATAGCCCCCTCTAACGAACTATGCATCAACTCCATTGCCTTACTTTTTTTATATTGTATGCAAGCTGCTTTGCAAACAGCTGTTAGCCACATTGTATACGGCTAGCAGATGGCTAGACTATGGGACTATGCTACTGAATATTTATAGGGCTAAATATCAAGAGATAGAGATCAGTATGTGCCGTATGGCATAGAGAGAGTGAGAAGCTAGAACATTCGGTTTTGAATTGTACACGGCTTCACCCTACCCTGGGCCAACGAATTTAGCGGGGGCGCTGAATTTTGCTAACGAGGATGGAAGAACAAAGGAGAAAAGGATTACAGTCACAAAAAAGGAGGTTAGAAGATTGGTGAAAATTATCTGGAGAAAACTGAATAAAGAAATTAACTAGCACAGCTGGGGACAGGCGGGAAAGAGGAAACTTCCTCCTCCTCCCAATCAATCATTTTTGTATACTTATTCTTTTTTACAACTTTAAGGAACGTCCACATAATTTGCCCATCCTGCATGATCAAATTAAATTTTGATTTAATATTTGTTCCTTTTTTGCGCTATTTTGTTAATTAACTAATACTTTAGACCAGTGTGTCGAACCGAAAAAAATATGGGTTCGGTTACGGTTCAGGTTCAGGTAAATTAATTTTGTTCCGGTTCAGTTCCGGTTTGATTATTTCGATCCGCGAACCGGTTCGGGGCACTGAACCGGTTCACGAACCGGTTCGGAAATTATAAATGACAAATTGCAACATCAAAACAAATTACAAATAAAACATCTGAAATCAGCACATACGAAACGGGATACATCGTAGTGTAAGGCTCAGGGATTTCTACCAGGAATGGTTTCTTTATGTGCACTCAAAGGTTACCTCACCGACGTTTACGCATTCGGATTTCATCTAATTGGGTCCGACGCAGTAGCTGTAAAATCCGCGACCTCCTTATAAACCCACTTACAAGTAGAACTCGCTAACTATCCTGCCACCTCGGCGTGTAAGCAATTGAAGGAACAGTGGGGAGAAAATACAGCTTTTTTTATATGAACTAGCCTTCGGTAACTCAAATTGGACCCTTAAAGAAGTTTTCATTAAACAAGATACGGAATATGAAAAACACTTCACCGAACGCAACGCCAGAAGGATGTAATAGGATAAATATTAAAATAGAAGAGTTCGCTGTCTCACAAATATGTTAGCTTCTAAGTGCCTATACGAAACCGGATGCCTTATTATCAAACTCCACAGCATTTTCTTTTCTCATTCCGATGGAAGCAAGCTTCAAGAACTCGCGCGTTCTAGAAACGTGTTATGAAATGAGCACACAGCAGCATTTAGGATTTACGAGATTGTAGAAAAATGAAATCCCGTGACGCGATTTTTTTTTTTTTTTTGCAGAGCCTTCTAATTCTTGTTTTTCCGTGCAAGCCGCGACCAGCGCAATACTAGTTCCTATGTCAAGATTCATGGATGCAGCGTTTGTCAAGATTCATGGATGCAGCGTTTATATTCCTAAGACTGAGTGGAGAAGAAAAATATGTAAGCGAGGTGTGCGTCAGTTGACGGCACTTAAAAAACAAATGGCATTGATAGCATGTTCATTGTCAACAGCGCGTGGCCGAACCGTTTTGACATGAGCCGGTAACCGTTATTTTCTTACCGGTTCAGTTTCGGTTCGGGTTCATCGCGATAACAATATAACGGTTCAGGTTCGGGTTCAGTTCCGGAAAAAATAATGGTTTGGTTCCGGTTTTCGGTTCGGTTCGGTTCCGGTTCGACACCCTGCTATTAAACGGACCGATATAGTTGAAAAGATTTCCTCCTTGGGCTAAGATAAACCATCGCAACATCTCTCAAATCCTTAATTTCTGAAATAAAAAAAAACAATAAAAAACAAGGGGAGACATTATTGCTTTCTTTCTACACTCTATGCTTCATGACAGAGGGATTTTCCGGTTGGCGATGTCCAGAAAAAGTCAGCGAGCACTAAACTTGGGAGTTCGTCTGTTCTCTCCGATTCAGCACATTGTTAATCGGGTTGTTACTTACTTGTTTACCATGCATCCATGAATTGATCTGTTAATCAGGTTGTTACTTACTTGTTTACCAGGCATCCATGAATTGATTTCTTTATTAGTTTATTTTTAAGGAAACTATGGTCAGCGGGCACGGCCGTAGACAATAGCATTCCTCCACCCGCGTCCGTTCAGTCCTTTTGTTGCCAAACAAGATCCTATGAAGCTGTTCGTAAGGACATCCCCAATTTAGGCTCAAAATCAACGTGGTTTTTAAAGTGGCCACAACAGAGGAGACACATTTGCGTCACAATACGATACAATCTATGCTCATTACAACAGACCTGGTTACAACAGACCATTTGAATGTAACATACCAATTTGTGAAGTTTGGTTGGTTTCTATCTACGTACCATTGACTCAACAACTTCATATCTGCATACAACATACTCCTTTTACAACAGATCGAAATCTTGGTCAAAATCAATGTCTGTCATAACGAGCCTAGACTGTACAACAATACTTATTTCGGGAGAGGACTGCAATGTGCTAGTAGACACCGCAAATCTGACATTGTCCAAACTGTAAATTTGGAGTCGGGAGAACTCCATTACAGGTAAACATAAACAAAACAAAAGCTGGACTTTTTCACACCAAAGGTAAATCGGTCAGACTAACGCGAGATATCACTGTAAATTCAACTCCAATTAAGATTCTGAGTCATTTCAGGGCACTGGGAGTAATTTTTTCTGAAAATATGTCCTGGGACAATCACATTAATTTTATAATCCCTAAACTGTCACGAATAGCTGGATTGATATGCCCTCATCAATCAATTTTGCCAAAGAATGTGAAGTTACTAATCTATAATTCACTGTTTTATTCCCACTTAAATTACTGCCATCTCGTCTGGGGCTCAGCTACATTATTCAATCTTGAGAAAATACTTTTATTACAAAAAAGGGTGTTGAGGTCCATCGGTGGCATCCTGTTTGACTCTCATACAGCTGGTCTGTTTACGGCGTAGAATTATTATAATGTACGCTAAAGGTTCAACTGGCGCTATTGGGGTGCTGCAAATTGAAGCAGGCAGCAACCAGTCCGAAATCGACTTCTGGTAATGCATTTTTTATGGGAGAAAGCGAGTGCATTTTCTCTCTGCGTTCGATTATAAGAGCAAATATCACGAACAATTTGTACGTACTAGGCACATTGAACATTTCTCAGTCACGCAGACGAAATAATTGGTCAGTTACGGCGTTTTTATTTTAAATTTTTGGCATGGAAAACGGTGCTAAAACTGCTTCGTACATGTATTTATGTGGATAAGTAACTCCTTGTGCATGCAGACGATCAAAATAAATTGAAAGCCACGTAATATAGTCCGATTTCCAATAAATAAGTACTGTTTTATTCTTTCTGCTCATGAATATGTGCGAAGATGCTTGTTTTGGGTTCAAATCATCACTCGCACGCTCCAAATCTTTGAAAATAGGGAGAAGCCAGAGAACAGGTGCCCGATAAAAACTGCCCGACATAGGAAATAATAAAAAGACACACCTTTTGTAGCCCACATACTTTATGTTTTACGTCCGAATGTTTTTTTAGCCGATCGTAAAGATGAGCACGAAGGAGTAAATTTCATATAGTGACAGGACGGGCATATTAGCAATATATAAGCGCCGCCGGAATGATAGCTAACCTTGAACACACTCTACATTCCTTTCGATTGTTATTTTGCTTAGAATCGTCGCTCGTTTTTACATACCTGCCATGGTACAGAGATTTGGGCCTGAAATACAGCGACGTTTAACACCGTTCAGGGGTAAAGAAAAAAGCTGTAACTAAAGCAATTACGCTTTCCCAATATTAATAAAGGTATATACTATCCGGTACAATTGAAATAACGAAAGTTATTCATGTTATTTTCCGGCGAAGAGACAAAATGCACACGCGTTTTCCCATAGGAATGCACAGGAGCACTGCAAAAGTAGACTGGTTGTTGTCTGCTTCAATTTGCCTCCCGGAAGTCGCGTAGACACTAGCACCAGTTGAACCTCTAGCTCTATGGTTTACGGCTCTCCGCGTTATTAATATATTCAATTTATACAACTATAGACTTACAATACTTTCAAATTGGAAAGCCACAGAAACGTGTTTTCTTACGAATTTGGGACATCTATCTGTAAAGGAATCGGTTTACCTCACTCGTCATGCAGAACATTGAAAAATGGTAACGCGGAGGTCCGAGGGCAAATTACGGCTCTCAAATAATTAGATATACGCTGCCTAAATTGCTCGACCAGTTTGATGCTAGTGAGTTTGATCTTATTAGGATGTCATTTAAGCAACTTTGAGACAAATTTTGTAAAGCTAGACAGGTAAAATACCAGTGATCTGGCGGTTTGTTTAATATTTCCAGGACTATTCAATATTTTTTTTATTTGTGTGTTGTGTGTGTATATTATCCACCCGTTTCGTACTCTCGCATAAAGTAGCATTTTTTTTTCCTGCATTTTTGTTCTTTTGACTATGTAGTGGGTCGAGGGCCCTTGTCAAGCTGTATTTCACAGCTTTTTTCCTCGAGCTCCACCATCAATGTAGATAGAAATAAACAAATTATTATCAAAATAAAGCAAAAACTACATAACACACCAACACAAACGTAAGCATGCCGAAACTGAAACCAACCAAGTCAAGTAACTACTGAGATGGAAAGGTCTTTACACTATCACTCGAACGAGTAACAAATGAAGCCGTCTCTGTTACATGCACATAGTTGAGATGCCAAGAAAGCAACAGAGTTCTACGCACCACCATTTTTTTCATGGCCCCGCTGAATCGCTCTCGCTGTGTTTCTATGTAAAACAGGAGGGCAAATCTATGGGTTTTAAGCTGACATTTTTCACCGGCAGGCTGAGACTTCGTAATAGTTTTGAGTGTCTTGGGCTCTTTTCATCATCCCCCTTTACGAAATTATCTGTGCAAGACAGGCGCGTTCGACAGAGGCCAATGCCAGCTGTAAAGGGCGGGCCACTTTAATCCAAAGTTTCTGCACTGCAAGCTTGCACAAAGACATACACACAGGCCTCTTGCTGTATCCTACGTGGTTCGGAGAAGCTTTGCACAGCGCAATGAAGTGGCATCACTTTTAAGTTGTTATAAACCCAGCGACTGCCACAAGCCCCAGATGGCTGCTGCATCGCAGCCCTCACCGCCGAGGAGCGAGCTGAGCGAGGACCGTGACGTCACAAAACAAGCCTCTAAAAAAGCTCACCAAAGGGGCTATGCTCGACAAATGTTTAGTTTTTTTCTAAAAAGAAACATAAGTGATGATATCGCGTGTGATTGGCTCAATTGACAAAAGAGGGAACTTTCGTCATTTGAGCCTCTAACCAATCAGACGCTATATCGTCACTTCCTCTTTTTTTCAGAAGAAACGAAACATTTGTCAAACATAGTCCAGCCCAGCCCCTCCCCCTCCCCCTCCCCTCCCCCCTCCTCCCCCCCCCCCCCCGAGGTTCATCCTTTTATATGAATTTTCTTGTATAATTAAGTTTAGAGGGCATTCTTGCTTAAATAAACGTGATATAAAAATTAGTAATCTGCTATAAATGCTATTATAACGAATCATTTCGACCCCGATTTTTTTTGGGTTGTAGCACTTTTTGTTTGCGTGGATTTTTGACTCTAACAATATGTGGGGACCAGGTATTAAGTAGCATAAAAAATATTTATATATATATATATATATATTTTTTTTTTTTTTTTTTTTTTTAAGTTTGCATTTTAGTGGTAGTGATATTTAACTTAGCTCAGGAGAACCGCGGAGCCTCATAAAGGCAGGTCGCCCGTACCACGAAGGCTTGTAGTGTGCGGACGTTGTTGTTTTGTGCTCTGCTTTAAAGAATTTCCAGAAGTAAAACACTCCAAGAAGACATTTAGCTAAGGTCGCAGACGACCGGCTTTAGCCACGCCAGCAACGTAAAGGTTGAAAACCGGATGGTGGTCTTCTTTTGTCAGACTCACATTTCTCTCTTCCCAGCTACTAGGACGCGTTCATTTGAAGTGACAACAACCTGGTCATTCGTGTGACGAGCGGAATGTAAAATTTTACAAGGGCGGGTCAGAAAAGCCGTCAAATCGAGCAAATGTTCACCTGAGGTGGGACCGACTGAAGTAGGACCTACTACCGGAGCGACCGGAGCGGAAGATTGAAAGGAAACAGGAAACAAGGCGTTCGCCATCTTGAAACATTGTTGCCTTTTATCGATAAAACTTGGCTCATTAAAATACTTCGTAGAAATTTCGTTTCTCTAATATATTTTTTTACAAAATTGTAGTACACCATTAGTAAAATAAAAATTATAAAGATCTGAAACGTTGGCTATGGCTGATACGACCGAAACGTTGCATTGAATACGAACTGGACGCGACTTCGTCTGCTAGTCGATGCGTGCGAGCCGGCAGAGGGATGTCCTTGTCGCATTCACTGCGGCGTAACTTGGACCGCGAACGCTTTGTGAAACTTGTGGAAACGCAGCGCCGTTCTTCTGAAGTTCTTCGCGAAGGTGGGTCCTTCATCACCGTGTTCGCATTGTGCCTTCCCGTTCTCGACTTTTACGACGCCTGGGACAAAGAAAAAGAAAAGAGTGCGGCCGAGAGGAACGGAACGTTTGTCTGCCCACTGCGCGCAGGCGCAGTAGCAGCGCGATCGCATACGGCGAGTGGATGTCGAGAGCAGCAGAAGCGGCGTTGCGGCTGTTCGTGTTTGTGTGAAGACATCGGTGTGTGCCCGGGCGCATGAGTGTGCTCGTCGTGCGCTTGGACACCTAGCCGCCGTACCGCTGCAGACTCAACAGAGGTGAGCCCAATTCTAGATGCTTTTCGAACTGGAAACGAAGCGGCAGGGGCCGGAGTTTACGCGGAAGAGCCGGAGTAGTCGGTGGGGGAAGCGATCGCTACCGGTTCATCGGGACGAAGGCCAGCTGATTTCGTCGGAAGGTTTTAGGCTTAATCTTCGCAATACAGCGATCTCGGTGGCCTTCCGAGTTACGGAAGAGCTCGGCCTTCGTGGCGATTTTGTAAACGCGCATGTGCCATAAGCGAGTTTCACGGACGCGCGGCCTTCCTCTTGGCGACGCAGTAGACGTTGTTCGTGAAACAACGGCGACCCTGGGAGGAAGACCCCGAAATGTTATCGGCGGTTCCGCGTGCCGTCCTCTGCTCGAGGTCTGGGGCTTGCACTCTTTTGTGGTCCCCTTCAAAAGGCGGAGATTAATGCAATGCGGCGTTTCTTGCCGTCCTACATCGCCGACTACGCGCTTTTTCCATGCAGACGCGCACCGCGCGCGCGCACACGGGGCAACCGAACAACGAGCTTCGTTGTTCACATCAGTGCAGTTTTAGGTCCGATTCGCGTTATCGGTAACGACTTGCAGTTGGGAGAAACTGCAGTGCTTTCAGTGTTGATGTTTTATCCTTTATGTTGTTGTTTTTTTTCCCCTTTCTTTTTCCCTCTTCCTCTCCGGCTCGTCCCATCCATCCGTCGAACTTGGCTCGCGCGAGAGACCTTCGCGGATTCACGGTCGCGCGGCGTGCTTGCGACAGAGTTTTCCCAAGTCCCTCTACGATGGTCGCAGACGTGACGCGGCGCCCAAGTTCGTCTGCGCTGCCGAACCGTCGTGGAAAACTCTCGAATGCTCGGCTGGATCGAACTACGAATGTATCGCGTTGTCAGCTGCGGCTAACGGTGCGTCTGCACATGCACGCGCGTGTGTCACACGGCGTCGGTGGGGGGAAAGGGGGGAGAGGGAAGGGATTTCCCGTTTTGGCAGCTCTCCCTGTGCCAAGGCTCTGACCATGAAAACATCGCTGTCGGTTACGTATTCGCTGCTGTACGTGTGCCGTCACTGCCGCCAGCTCGCGTGTGACTCTCGGCTCCGAGCCCACTGCGTAGACGACGCGCACCGCGTGCATTCCCTGCCGGTGCGGGAAGGTTCCAAGGACTGGTAAAGAAGATACGCAAATGCTTGGCTCACCGGACGTCTTGGCGACGCCGTGGACTCCAGTCTGACGATATCGTATGACTGGGGAGTTCCGTGTTTTCTGTGCGTACCGTTAGACCTCTAAATGTGACCACGCCGAGCCGGATTTTATATCCAAATCGGAGAAAACACCCCGAATCGGAGCTCTGTGTCCCGTTTTCTACAACATGTGTCCCGATAAATGCCGACTTTTATACCCACCGAAAATATTTACTGAACATCACTAAATCAATAAAAAAAAATTGAACACAAACAACACTTTCCAACATTTGTTCCAAAACTCGAAGCGCCGCATCGCGGCGTAATGCCGCGTTATTCATCGCGAGAATCAGTGGGAAGCAAAATCCATACGCGCTCCGCTCCTGACCCCCAGATTCCCAGAATGCAACGCGCGCGGTGACAGATTTATAGAAGTAGCCTATTAGAAGAAAAGTAAACCTAAAAATTCAATCCCAAAGCACCACAAAAAAAAAAAAAAAAACTTGCGTTACGTGTTGGGTTCCGTGTTCTCGGACAGGGCGGGAGTCGCACACAACGTTTCTAGTTCCACCAACATCATGACAGATCTCCTGGACCAATAAAGACCTATTATTATTATGTGGGTTTATTGCAGTTGAAAAGTGCATAATCTTACATTGCCCTTCTTAGCTGTCCACAAACACTGGGGAAAGTTTAACACGAAGGGAATGGGGGAAATTTTTGACAGGTTTTCATCGCACCCCTCTAGTGGTGTAGCCAGCGGGGCTTATGAGGCTACAGCTCCCCCCCCCCCCCCCCCCTTTTTTTTTTTTCCGTCTTTCGACCGCATTTGGACATTAACCCTCCCCGCACTTCAAGGTACAGACCACGAGGCACCTTAGCCCCGTCCCCCCGAAAAAAATTTCTTGGCTACAGCAGAGCCCTACTCCTATATCTTGTTTGTGGTGTGTCGTCTACCAGAACAAGGAATTGCCATATCTTGAATGATGGAACCTGCAAGAAATGTAATCTTTTTGGCTATGACCGTGACCGTGTTCACAACCTTCTCACCTCTCACACTTGATGGCTGGCCACACGTTTGAAAGATTAAGCAGCCAGAGTAATTATTGTCATCTCTCTGTCGACAGTTGACTGAAGCATTGAAATTGAAGCATGTCCAAAAGTAGTGCACCCTAGCAGTTTTGTTACTCAAAGGACATCTTCCAGTATTGCCATTTTTCACCACAGCACATGTGGTGAAAGATGCATAAAATAAGCAGCACACCAAGGTGATGACACACGCAAGCCACATATTAGGTTTACAACCCTGTTTTTAAAGCAACATCAAGGGTGAACAGAGCGAGCAAACTAACGGCAGTGAGGCTTTGGCAAGAAAACTTGCGTGACTTTCTACGATGAAACCAGAAAGATATCACTGATCCTGTATATCACATATTTCATTGCATTTGGGTTTATCTCAACAGTGTTTGTGCTCGGTTAGTTGGCTCGTTATTCAACCAGGCCTGTTGCAGTTTGTGCTTCTGTTAGAACTTATGTATACTATTGGATGCATAAGGACCCTGTGCCACAGAAGGCTATGCATATCACGCACCGCTTTTTTGTAGTGGATAGCGTTCTCCAACCGCGACTGGCTGCGTTCCGGAGCGCAGTCTCGAGAATCGCTCTGTGTCGAGAGAGAACTGTGCGTGACCTTATTATCTCTCTTATTGTGATCTCGATTTCCAGACTGATTTTTGATTACTTTAGCGCGCCATTGTTGTCTGGGAACCAATTGTGTCTGTCATCCATCTATTAGCCAATGCTTCCTATTGTGTTTTGGGAAGGCCCAAGGGCAGATTTTGGTAGGGGCAGTTTAAAGTTCAAGTTGCCAGTCGGAATTTTCAAAAGTATTGTCGACCTTTAACTACAAAACTAAACGAACTAAATGTTTACAATATTTAGTTAGTTTTAGGGTTTCAGTGATGACGCGGTAGTTTGAAAACATGTCGAAATAAGGATCAAGCAAGCCCTAAATCAAGATGCGATCATTAATAACGGTTAAGAGTTGAGCTTGTTGGTACATACTTGTAAATAGATCAGCTTGCACTTTAGAACTAACTAGAACACAAAGAAAGAAAGGACAGGATATGGCACGCAGCTGTGTGTCATATCCTGTCCTTTCTTTCTCTGTGTTCTAGTTATTTCTAAAGTTCAAGCTGATATATCTACAAGTATGCGATCCTTGGTAGGGATTTTTTTTTTGTCATCTGGTTAAAGAATGGCACTATCATTGTGAACGCGTAGTTGACGACGTAAAAAGACTCACTTTCATTCATTTTCATATCGTCGCATTGAGCCAATTTTCGTGCAGCATCTACGATTGCATGTGCAGCACATGCAGTGCTACCTAACATTTCCCTCTTTCTCGTTGCAAGGAGGGCAGCTACGTAATGCAAATTGTACGTCTTTTAAACGTGACTTCGTTCACTCAATTTTGTTTTAGTGAATTCTAAACAACAATGTCAGTTCGTGTGACGCGTGACCATATCATATGAAGAGCGGCATAGTTACATTCATTTTTTGAGTGCTAGCTGCACGCATATGTTCCAGACATCTGGGACACACACTTGTGCCCACTTTTTAGTTTAAAGGAAATGAACGTAAACAACTTATCCTGTTTCTTCAAAACAGCACACCACCTGCCCTTGTTTATCACTGTCCTCTCCTATTAAGTTCTTGCGTCCCTCAACAGGTGTCACTGAAGTCGCTCTTAAATTTGAGTGCAGCAATGCTAAAGCATGTGGTACAGAGCATGCCAACAAGGAAATGTGAACTTGCTATAAGTGATCAACTTATCACATCTGGCACATAGCAGAATCTACTGACAATCAAAAGGAACACGAGTTAAATACCACCGGAGCCGTAAAGTAATTCATTACATTCAATTCACTTGTTGTAATGAGTTTCAATCTCGATTACTAAGTTACAATTGTCGTAACTAAGCGCTTGTTAAATTACTTTTTCATTAACTAAGTGCTTGATAAGTTATAAATGCAATAACTAAGTGCTTTACAAGTTAAAAATTCAATAACTAGTATAAGTACTTGATAAA